AGGTGTTGTCAGACATGAGCCGAAATGTTTTTCCTGGGAACTGAATACAGTTTAGTGAAGGCTTTAAAAGGTTCCTGATGCAAACGTTTTGTTAAAACAACAAAAGGGATGAATGGGGAATCAAATGCTATAGCCTGGCTGGGCAGCAGGAAGTCAACTATTGTGACATCTTACTTTCAGAAGAGACTACTCAACCATCTCCTTCACCTGTTCAGACTAGAAAGCAGAAGCATTTGACAAACATAGAAGTAAGATAAATATTATTTTGATTGACAAGATGTGAAGAAAAGTTGTTTCTGTAATGGTGCCTAAATTATTTTGGCCTGCATACGAGAAATGAGATTTTTAAAAAAAACAATAATTGCTTCTCATCTCAGTTGAAGCATCTCTCTTTTATTTTTTTTTTTTTTTGAGACAAGCAGAATTTATATGCACAAACATAATTAAAATCCTTGTATGGTAAGAACTGAGTTAAAAGAAAAATTGCCAAAAGGAATTATTTAATCTTACAACCCAGGGTACTCTCCAGTATCACACAGAGTTTTTAGATTATTTCCCTGATAAATCATTATTTGACCGTTGTGTAATTATCTACTCACTGTGTTATACTGCCTTTCTGGGTACATTGCATAAAATGGCATATTCAAACTTACTCCTTTCACAACCAATCATCTGCAAGACCACTACTAATTTGGCTGCTTCAATCTAGCCTTTATTGCAGCCTAAATATCACCATTATATTTGGGCCAATTATGTCTTCAAAGCTAGACTTCTCTGTATAATTTGCATTTCCTGCCAAATAATTGCATCTTTCCTGAATAATAAATACCTTAGGATTCAGTCTGAAAGTTGAGGGGGTTTTTTTGATGAGAATGTGGTTCTTCCTGATAACCAGGAAAAAGGTCATATTGAAAAATTGGTTTGCTGCAGGCCCCTGTCATAAAAAGAAAGCACCTTCTTATTATTCAATGACGATCTTTAAATTAGCCCCTTTACTATCCACTAATACATAAAATATCAGCTTCCGCATTCTGGTTTGTGGTCAAAGGCTGAGGACCTACAGCACAGTCAGTTTGATGTCTTCTGGCTGTTTGTGAGTGTGCCACATGGTAGGAGACTGGATGAGCCTGCAGATTTCGTGAGGCATCAGAAAACAGACAGGGTGTTGCACTGTGCCTGATGAGCCCATGCCCTCCATTCTGGCTGTTCTCTGAGGGGCAGGGGAGTGTTGATACTGTGCTGGAAAGCTGGCACCACCACGGGTTTTGATTTCATCCAGATAGGACACTGAAGTGTAAAATAGGAAGCAGGAAATCTGCCAGAGGGAAGGAAGTGTGTTTTCTTGCTACCAGGGAGTCCTCACTCAGGCAGGAGCCAAGACAATGGAGACAGTGAGGAAGGAGGTGTGGGAGAAAATGGCTCTTTTGGGATGGAACTAAGTATATAGTGCAAGCACATCTAGAACATTTGTATGAACAACACAAGGGACTGTTAGGAAGGGAAGGAGGGCAGAAATGGGTAATGCCTAACAGGAGGAAGCATACAGAGTTCATGGCATGTATTCACATGTGTTAAGTGGAGGACAACAGAGCAAACTGAGTCCCTGCTTTGAGCCCTGGCAAAGGGATTGCCATTTGGGATCAGCAGAGGATTTCTAAAAACAGAAGAAAGTGTTTGAAGAATTTATAGAAAATATGGGAGAGGAAAGATAGGGTAAAACAAAGGTCTTCTGGAGATATTTTGTGAACCTGAGTTCGAGATGGGCACAGAGCACATAAATACCTGGTTTGCATCACTGCCTCCAAGGGAGACGTGGGTGTGGGCTGCAAGCAGAGCCAGAGCAAAATAACTAACAATGAATGCCATCTAAATAGCTAGGTTCAGACAGGCAGTGGCTTTAGGTGGAAAGCCAGGAACTGCTTAAAGTAGTATCTACAGAAATTTTATGTGTTTGTATCAAAAAAAATCTCAAACATTTACTATGATTTGGGGTAAGACATTAAACCAACACAAAACTTTTTTTTTAATAGGCACTCCTTAATGCTTGTAAATGTTTAGATAGAGATTGTCTTGTTCCATTAGGATTCTAAGAAGAAATGTTTTCAAATCTGATTTAAATCAAAGTCCAGTGGAGCAGCTAATGAGATGAAGAGTATAAGTATAATCTTAAGGGCATATGCTCTTTTTTTAAAGCAGATTTTAAGCAGAAAGCTGAGTGTGAGATTCATTGAGTACTATGTACTCTGGATATAAATAATTTAGCGTAGCATCCAGTTAGAGGACTGATCGTTATTCACCTTTCACAGCCCAGACAAAAATAAAGTCTTGCTTGAATTAAATGTTAACCTTGGATAATTTTGCTTAAATGTTTTTAGTAACATTTAAATATTTTAAATATTTTAATAACATTTAAATATTTTATAAATTAAATACTGAAGTTCAAACTGAAAAATAGAAATGGAAGGTCTTTTTTGCCATTTCACTTTTGTATCAAAACAACTGAAATGCAGTTTTGTTCTTTTAAAGTTAAATTCATGAACTTTGGAATTTAGAGGTTTGGTTGAAAAATCTTTCTGCAGGTCAGCTGCAAAAAATCCTACGCACTAGGATTCTCTTCACTAATCTGTTAATAAATTGATCTGTGTCATATACCTTTCTGTGCTCAGATTATTACAGTTTCCTGTGTTGCTTCTGTTATACACATTAAAAATAGATAAAAATAATGAAAAGCATAAATAGTCAAATAAATATATTTTCCTTGGGCTTAGATAATTTTTCTTATCCTGTTGATAGAGGTATGTACTTAAACCCCTTTAAACACACTTGAAATGGCTAGGATAAGTCTATATCAGACTTGAAGAGTGTGGAGCCCACAGATATTTGTATTATCTTTTTATTGCTTCAAACTGGCATCATTTGTATCTCAGAAGAGATAGCAGCAGAGAAGGATTTGGCAAACATCACTCTATCTGGGTGTAATGCCTGATGCAGCCTGCCAGGGAAGGACAATTACAACCTGTCCAGATTCCTTAGTGGAATTTTTTTCATGAAGTATTTGAAAATTAAATGTGAATACATTGCAAAGGATCCATTTTATATGCACTCCCAAAATAATAGCTACAAAGCCCAAGGATATGTCCATTTGAAATACTGATTTCCTCAGAACATAATCCCTTTACCCCTGGATTTAATTCCTATCTATTCAACTTGTACTAGTCAACTCTGCCTACAGCTGTTCACACAATTAATAAGATAGATTTCATGCAAACATATGGTCTTGTATGCATCCCTCAGTCATAATAATAAACAGAAAAACAAGGATGAAATAATATTTCTGCGGAGAGGAATGGAAGGCTTTATGAAACCTGCAGTGCATAAGTCTCATAGTACCTGAGTGACAGGTAAATGTCAGGGCTATCAGATGTGTAATTATGGTCTTCATAACTGAAATATTTTCACTTTTGGTCAAAAATAGAAAAAATATTAAGCAATGGATTTAACATCTCATTCTTCCTTCAGAGATTGGCTTCAGTTGCTTCTTATAGTCTGCACAAGTATCTGATACCCATCCACTGCAATGACAAATTCACTTTGCATTTTAGTATCTCTGTTCCCTCAGGTATGAATATATTTGTTCATTACATTTTTATTGCTGTTTCTCCACAAAGAGAAACATTTCACAATTGAGAGAGGTTTGTCAAACTGGCTATACTGACTAACAGTAGCATATCTCAAGTGGCTATTCAGAATTCATACCTACAAGGGTAAGCACGGTATTCAGAATATTGCTAGTTTAGCTTTGGTCAGGATCTATGTTTAATTTATTTCAGTTTACTGTATTTCCTGAGACTAAACAAAGCTTTGCGTATATGATTATAAAACTTCTCATAAGGCATATTTATACTCCAGCAGGGTTGCTAATATTTATGGTCTTTTTTCATTATTTGTGTATATATTAAAAATATATATAAACACTCTATGCAGCAAATCCAGCTTATTGGAAAACACATATACCATGACAAAACAGAAAATAATATGCAGAAATAGAAAGTCGCTTACAATGTAGTAGAAATGGTGACCTCTTTTAGCTTCTTAAAGTAGTACTATGCGAAAATTATTGAAGTTTATAGATCTGCTGTTAGAGAGCCAAATGCCTGCAGGTACTGTTGATTCCTGCTGGGGTGGATATTCAGCACTCCTGTAAACCTGACTCTAAGTGCTTGCCACAAATATCTTTAAAATAGTCATTGCTTATTTGGCAATAATATGAATATGAGAAAAGTACTGGTCATCAGCTTAGTATATAACAATCTGTTAGATATTGTCCTCCTATGATTCTGGAAGAGCTGCTAATAAACACTACTCCTTCCAAACCTCTGCTGTTATCGCTGATGATGCTGTTGTAAAAATATGTTCTGATATGATAAGGAGATATGTAAATTGAAGATCTTTTTTGAAACAGGAGGTGTTTAGTTGTTTCCTGTTTCAATTTTGGTTTTGTATATGCTGCTTGCCTCACACATTAAAAAAAAAATTAAGACAAACTTATTTAAATTATGTGTATATGGCTAGTAAAGCAAAGTTGTACAGGAAATACTGCCTGCAAGTTTTAACCAGAATGTATTAAAAGAGGGTCAATTTAAGTATATATTGTCTCTGATTTGAAGATCAAAAAAATCTGTTATATATTTCTGGGCTCTGTTTACAAGATATACTGTCATATGTTACCCCTTGCATCAGTGGAAAGGAAATTTTAGATTTGCTATCACAATATTGACATGGGGAAACCCCCAGTGTCTTCTATCTATAAAAATGGCTACAAATCTAAATTAAGATAAGACACCAGCTAAGCTAGGCAGAACTCATTAAATTTGCAGGTAAAGGTGGTGACATTGGAAAAGAACACGTAACAGAGGCCTGATTTCAATAGACTGTGGAAGAGGCTCATGGCCTTGCATGTTTGGGTTATGATTACAGAGATTTTTTTTCCATGTTTTTGATAATTACATATGTGGTTGCCAGAATGGTAAGTGAAATCTGCACTCAAACTTTACTCTGGAAAGTGAACAGGAATTTCATAGTGTCATGGTTTGACACTGGCACAATGCCAGTGTCCCCATGAAAATGCATCCTCCCCAAATGAGTGCAATCAGGAACAGAGCAGAGCAGGCTCAAGCTTAAAAATAAAGAAAAGAACTTTATTAGTCTGCTATAATAAAAGACACACACAGAATCCAGGAGGAAAAGCTTCCAAAACATTCCTCCTCCCCCCCCCCACCATTTCCAACAAAACACAGTGAGATAAACCCTGAATTCCTGAGGAAGTTCCCACCCCTGAGATAATAAATTCTCAGTTCATGAAGGGAGGGAGGTGTCCCTCTTGTACCACAGTCTTCCACAGGAAACACAGTTTAAACCTCCCATGTTTCCATGTCACACATGGCACCGCCTGGAACAAATCTGCCAGTGTGACATCCTCCTTCCACGTACACTGCTCTCACCACCGTCCATGGACCGAAAGTGCTCATAGGGCTCCTTTAAGGATGCTTCACTAAGTACCAAAGAACAACAGTTTCTCAGTTTGGGACAACAGTCCCCCCCATTTTCTCCTCCCCTGGGGCCAAGGGTCTTGTGAACAGAGATCTTCTTCTTCCCTAAAGACAGAGGGCACCACCACACCCTCCTCATCTTCCTCTGTTCATTCTATACCTGTCACTCTCAGTCGCTGAAGCAGGTCACTCCCACTCCTGCACTCTCTTCTCCCAAGTTTTTGCATCCCCCAAAAAATGCAGTCTCTATGTTAATAATGCTTCTCTGCAGAGCAGGTCAGATGATTTTACCAGGTTTGTTGGCAACAGCTTCTGCAACAAATGGCTTGTTCTGTAACATGCAACCTGCTGTCATCTTCATAAATTCAAAATGACACTCGAAGGGCATATGGAAGATGAAAGAAGAATTCAAATATTTGTTGACTGAGGTACTATTTAAGTAAGCTAAGCTATTTAGGTTAAATAGGTTAGAGTTTTAATGGCTATTTTTCCAGACATGGTTTACAGAGGAAGGTTTGAAGAGGCTTTCTAGGTTGCCAGTTTTTCAGATTTTAATGGTACCCAGTATTAGACAAATATGACAATTTGCCTCAAGCAAGGACAATCTGTCAAAACACATTGTTTGTGTCCCTCATCATTGCCAAAAAATTTAAAGATGTCTGTGCAGTGTATACAGTTGTTATGAATTATAATGTTATTTGTTTACTTTGCATTTCTGCCAGCCGCTCTCCCCCAGTCCTATGAAGTAGCAGCTTTTCTGAGGGATATTAGAAACTGTAGTCTAGCCTACACCACACTTTCTTGTGTGTCTTCATTGGCGTCATACTTCACTGTCTTGCTGTACTCAAAAAATTCCCCATTTACTACAGTTTTCCTTCTCTTCCCTGGTCTGTTTCTGCTTGTCATGCTCCCTCCTTTTTATATCCTACAGTCTCTGGCTGGTGCTTTTTCTTTTGCAGCCTCTTTGGCTTGCATAGCTGCCTGTATCTGTCAAATCCTAATCATCACTGAAACCCTTAAAATTAATTTTCTCCAAGGAACTATTCTGGTTTATTTGCTTTCCCTGTAGTCGTTGTTCTCAGTTTATTTGGGTTTCCTCCCTCTCCCTTTTCTATTGGATCTTATGTGCAGGGGCAACAGGAGGCGCAGAAAAGACTTTAATCTGGGTTTGTGAATCTGTTGTGCATTAGTGAAAGCTGTAGCATTGTCTCAGTGCCTTTTTACTCTTGGTGCACCAAGGATACGAAGCTGTTAAAACTCCAGTTCTTATTTCATGCTTTTGGTTCTGACAGTTCCATCAGCTGGACAGCAAAGCAGCTGAAAAACATGTATTTGCAGCCCTCCTTTCAATGTCATCAGTGGCTGTTTGATTAAAAAGAAATCAGGGAGGAATGTACTGGTTTAAGCCTGGCTCTAATGAAGTTGATAAATGAAGTCCACAAATGATCTCTTCCTCATCACACTTTCTTGCTTGCTGTTACTGTTCACAGGGCCAGACCAGTTTGCTGTTTCCTTACTGAGACACTGAGAGCAAAGGTGGTGGAGATGCTGCTGGGGTCAGAAGACTGGAAACTTGAAGCTGACTTGCTGAAAGACATCTTACTGCATCTGAAAGATACCTTTGCTTCTTTGCATAACCCCTAGCAAAACCTTTGTGCTCTTTGAAGCTGGCAGACTGTTGTTTGCTCTAATAGTTATAAAGCCGGTGTTTCAGTTTCCCTCTAAAAGCTGAGTGTGAGTTTCTGTGTACACAGTATGTGTTCAGATGTGTATAATCCTTTTGAAACCACTCTCTAGGACTGTTCACTTTGTATAACACCAGGAATTTGAATTTTAGTTTGTAGCTGAGTTTAGCTGCTTTTGCTGCATAAAGTTCTTTGTTCCTGTCTTACAGTCTGCATTTACATTAGTAACACAAAAGCATTTTCTATGCTTTCTCTCTGGCATACATTGTATAGGCACCATAATTGACTTGAAGGGTTTTTCATCTCTGAGGTGAATCCTTTTCCTGAATGCTTTAGAGAAGAATGTTAGAGGCGGCTGCGGGTACAATCCTTCCAGAGAGTCTGTGTACATGTTCATGTATAATACTGACTACAAATATTTTATTTAACCTTATGCAACCTCAAGCAAAACAGCTTATGGGATAAATAAACTGGGTTACAGATGCATCAGACTATGTTTTTATGAGTCCATACAAAATTTTAAATCATTTACTCTTTTCACCTATTCTCTCTTTGTCTTTTGTTGCTCCATATATTGTCACAGTGACAAGATAAGTTTGTTTATCCAGAAATAAATTATAAATGTATTTATAATTTATAAATGTACTTACTTTGTGTTGCTCTTCATCTCTTCTTCCTCCTAAGGATCCAAACAATAAGACAGTAATGCACATGCTGCACATATCCTAATGCATGTTGGCTGCTGAATAAATTGTTTTTGCTAACAAGTTTTCTTTTTACTCTCTGTTGGCACTGCAATTCTCCAGTAGCATGTTTACCAACTGTGCTGTGTTCAAATTTTCTTCTGAAAGAGTTTTCTTTTCTTTTTTATTCTCTTTTATTATTTCTAGATGCAGCAACTCAAACTTTTAAAGGAAACCACCATTCTTTCTGTTAACTGGAAGTATATTTTGTGTACATAGTGGCTATAATGCACTGCACAGGGAAGTTAGCAAACTTTCATTTTATATCAACAGAGGCTTAGATGTCCCAGACTGTGAGCCTCAGCCAACCTCAGGCTGCATGTGCAACACGTCACAGCTGAGAGGTACCTGAATGGGCTTGTCACCTCATAGGCCAGCCACAGCACTGCGCATACCCAGGGAAGCTGCCCTGGGGACCTAAGCTGGCTTGTCTGCAGCAGCCTGGGGGCCAGCACGGCAGCATGCTGGATGCATGTCAGTATGGACCCGTAGGCTCGTTTGCATATTTAGCAGGTTTTGCATATTTATTTTTACCACTAACGTTGAGAAATCACTACTTCTTTGGAGCTGTTACTTGGCTATTCTTAATGGATCACAGTCAGTTTAATTCTTCGGAGGCAGCTCTGAGTAGTAGTTACAGGCTATTATACTGCTGGATAAGAACTTATATTTTGTGTTTACTAGTATGATACACATAAAAATCTATAAGGAAAAAATTCACAGCTAAAGACTGTGGCAGATAAAAATAGAAAAATATTTTATGTCATTCCTATGTGGACCTGAAAATAATACTGTTCTGTAAAAAAGTCTTACAATATTTGCTTCATTCTAGCAACTAAAACCCAAGAAATTAGGAGAAAGGCTAATGACATGGAAACATTATTTTTTAAATTCTGGTCTTTATCCTTTGCCTCTGATCTGAAGTCTCTGAAGCTGGAGCTGTGCTCCTGACAGATCTCAGTAACTGATAACAAGTATTGAGATTTCATCTCCCAACCTGATGTCAAATAAGTTCCCTATGAAAGCTGCATAGCACTCTGTAACAAAGAATATATATAGCTGCTGTTAATCTGTACACTGCTCTAATCTGAATGTCAGAATATGCTTTTAAAATTCTTCAACAATAGCCTTTTCTTCTGATTGATTTTAACAACCAATTTTTATCTCAGCAAATCAGCACGTAGAGCTCTCTGTAAGGGTTCTTCAGGCACTACCTCTTCTGTCAGTCCTGCATATTTGTTTGTGTTTGAGGAGGGGGTCTTGATGATCCCACTCCTTGAAAATTCCTTATTGAAATCAAGATCCGTGATCCATCTTCCTCCTTGATGGTGAGGGACTGTTCTTACTCTTTTTTTAGCATTGAATATATCCTGTAGGATTACCTTGTTTACATTGCCGTTATGTGGGTGGTACTCTTTCAAATTCCCATTTGCAATCAGCTCAAAGCATCAGTCCTGTCCTGTTTGCAGCCTACATTTTTTCCTACAGATTGTCATTGGAATGATTTTTAAAAGCATCTGGCCATAATCTCTACTGTGTTGTTACAACTTGTTGATAATGTTGGAATTATGCTGTGGTTGTTTTGCAGTCCTAATGACATTGGCAGTGATCTAGTGACGGAACAGAGTAACTGCAGACAGACAAGCTTTGCAGCAGTGAACATACCCTGAATGCATAGCACAGTGTGACTGTTGTGGACATAGATAAACTTCTGTTTTGCTGGCACAAGTATTTACCATCATGAAGGCATAGCAGGCTCAAACTCAATTCCACTGGGATTTTGTGTATTTCTTCTTATTTCCAACCAATGCCAGCTTGTATTGTGTCTAAGATACAAAGCTAGGAATGGATTTTCCTGCCTCTGCTATATCTACCATGATTCACTCTGAGAATACCCTTTTCCCATGGGATTGTCAGTCACTACTGCTGCTCTTCATTTTAATTACTGGTGACTTCTGATGTTAATTTTTTTCTTCTACCTTTGCATTTAGCTCTTAGTAATATTATTTTAGCTTTCATGTTGTCTCCTTGACAGTGGATTATAATGACTGTATTGTTGTCTAGGGCTGCTTCTTGAGTTCTTGCAGACTGAGCTTGAAAATTTACTTCCTGGTGGTTCTCACTGCTTCCGTCCTTTCCTTCATCAGATTATTTTGCTAATGATGTAGAGAGAAGTCTGTTTCATTGGTAAATTTTCACACTTGTGGTCGCTCTATCTCACATAGGAACATAGAGTACAGGCTGGCATGCTGGCTCTTTCCTGTGGGGCATGCTGGATCTCGCTCCTTCAAAAAACTGCTACAAAACAGAGTTACACACTTCCCAAAAATATTTTTGTGGATTCAAACTGTTTCCAGCTAAATAACTCATCTGTTTGAAGAATGCCTTGGTGATCCTCTGTGGCTTTCCTACTGCAGAAACTTGTACATATTTTCTACTGAACAGGGCAGAAAAATAGCTCAGTTTGGAGGACAGAAAACGGTCTGAATAAACCATGCTTCAAGAACACGACCCCATTTCTTCTCAGCACAATATTATACTCTGTTAGTGGAAGCATTCTGGGTTCAACACAGTTATCTTGTTCCTGGTAGTGGAAAGAAAACCTTGAAAGCAGATATACCTCCTAATAATTATAAAGTCTTCTTTGCAAACAAACGAGCCTTAGGCAGGATCCTGACAATACAGTGATTGTACAGCTTTGCTGACCCCTGAGACAGTAGTGAAGTAGCTTACCCCAGTTTCACTTCTTTTCAAGGAGTTGCAACAAAAACTTAGAGGAGAACTAAAACTTCAGTTCCAAAGGGGAACTTTAAATAAAGTTGTAACTTTATTTAAATAACAAACATTAGATAATGTGCACACTGCTGTGTGCTTTATGCTGTGGTGCAGTTACCCAGGAAAGGAATGGAAGTGATAGTTCTGCTTATGGCTTTACCCTACCTTGTCAATAAAGGCACGTTTATTTATTTGGCCTCAAAACTTTCCATTACAAAGATCTCAAAAAGCTAAACATAGTACTGAAATAGTGCATGTTGAAGGTTATTTGTGTAATAAATATCATACCTGTTAAAAGAATTAGAAATTAATTTTACATTCTACCACACATGCCATCTGGTAACTTAGTTCAGGTTATAGGTACCATGTTTGCCCCTTGAATAAGTGGAAGGGTCTTTTTTGCTATTGAACAGCTGCAATTTCTCCATCAAACCATCTCATCCAATCTCTCGGCCTTTCCATGCCTAAGAGATCCATGTTTTTATGGTTTTTTACTTTCTTCAACTTACCCGTAACTTCTTCATCATTTCTCTTTGCACTTGGAGCATGGTAATAACATATCCTCTGATATGAAATGTATTTGGATTAAATGTTTAGGCTAGTGAAGGGTAAAGTGAGCATTCTGGGTACTCTTTTGCTACTCTCTTTCCTACCTTAAAGAGACATTCTTGGGAAGGGCCATTCACTAGCAACATGAGATGCATGCATTAGTGTTTCATTATAGTAAATAACATCTGGTTGTGCTATGGAAAGGTTGTAGAACTAACCTCCCACTTTAGTTTTTTTTAAAAAGGCAGAGCTGACTTGATGACCATGACTAACATTTGTCCTGTAGTTCATATGTAAGCCAAGCTAAGTGAGCTATAATTCATGCTAGAAATATTGTCCAAAAAGTAGTGTATATACCCGGTGAAAATCACAGTAAAATCAACTATGGTCACTAAGCTTGAGAATTTGCAAATTTCCCTGGTGATAATCTTAATGTTATTGATACATGTTGAGAAAAATCTCAGTATACTTTTCAGAATGCGTCTAGTTCTTCTACCAAGAAAAGGAGATGAAGTGGTACAAGAAGGAGTGGATGGCAGCCCAAATCTCTGGGGTGTGTACCTACTTCTCAGGAAAAAAACAACAGCTATAGGCTACTCTGATCTCTTGTCAAACAGACAGAAAGGAACAAGCCTTGACTCAAAGAAAGGTAGAAAGCTTGCCTGGGGCTCCTCCTCAAATTCCCTGGTTAAAAACTAAATGTTCTAAAGTTTGATAGTTTTGGTTTTCTTTTTCAGTAATTTTTCAAAGTTTATGGTTACTTGAGAAATCCTAAGTTTACTCACTACACTAATTTTTTTAAATCATAGACTCATTAAGGCTCCCCTGACTCTCCTTTTCTCCAGCCTAAACACTCCCAGCTCCCTCAGCTGCTCCTTACAGGGTTTGTACTCCAGACCCTTCTACAGTTACATTGCCCTTCACAGGACTCTCCACTGTTTCTAACAGAAAACACATTTGTTCTAACAGAAAACACATTTAATTTTGTTTGCATTTGTTTTATATATAGTTTTCTTTTGTTTGTTTGCTTTTCTGCTTTCTGTCTCTGAGCTGTCACTCTGAATTGGACAGTTATTGGATATTGGATAGCTAACCCAGGGAAAGTTAATAGTTTCAAGTAAAGAACATTTGTACTTGACCCATAAGTCTTATTTTCTTCACTGTGAAAATGAGTAAAAAAAAGAAGTATTCATAGCTACTTCATTATTTATTCTTGGAGTTTTAGCAGAAATGCAAATTGTATTTCTGAACACAAAATTTTTAAAACACTGTAGAATGTAGAATACGGTTGTGGTGACTAGTTTTTTTCAAATCTAGCTGTGCATTTTACCTCAGAACACAGATTTATACAAAGCAAACACGTTCTTACACTGTTTAAATAACCATTCTTATTTTTGAAATAAATCACTCAAGTCAATGTAGCATATAATTTGAACAGTTTAGCAGCATTCTTTGAAGTACTACTGCTTCAAGCATGTAAAGCTAATGAATCTCTCTACTAAAAAAATACATTTGTAGTGGCTGCGGGAGCACCACTTGCTTTTTGTTAGCTTTTTTTCTGCATTGCAATTGATGTTTTCCAGGCTAATGGTAACAAGCTACTCAGCAAGTGAGTAGCTGAGTTTCTAGTGTGTTCAAACACTTGGTCTAAAGATCATAAGAAAAGCAAGTATAACAGCTTCTATAACTACAATTTCACAGACTGGCAGATTTTTTTTTGCTTTTCTTGGGTGCATCTTTGAACTAACCTTTGTAATTTTACTTGAATTAGTGTTTTGATAAGCTTGGAAACTGAATATCCAGATTTATTCATAGGAAGAGTTATGCTGCTGTCTTTTACTGCTAACTTTGGCGGAAACAGCATCCTTTGATTCTTCAATTGATTTCTGTTCACAAATGTGCTGTGATGTGATGGCAGATGACTAAATCAAAATCATCATAAAATTAAATCTTTAGATAGAATGTACAATAGCACAACAAAAATATACAGATTTACTCCATGTGTTTACTCCATACTATTGTATGTAGCTGCTAACCCTTCAGTAAATCCAGCTGGTCTCAAGCACCACAACACCTAGAAACTTATAGGCAAACCTACATATGAATCATCTGGATGAAAAAGCAGAACACTTTGCAAAGATTGCATTTGCAAATAATGCCCCCAAACCCAAAAAAACCCACAAACCCACCAAAAACCCCCAGCAGGGAGTGCAAAATGTATGTGGAATGTATGTCACATCACAGCTGTAAAGTAGACTCTATGTGTGGTCTGAGTTGAAGTAGAAACACAAAATACAGTGACAAAGAAGGCAACATTGCTTTGCATTTATTTTTTTAATGTTTCCAAAAGTTCTGAATGTATAGCAATACTAAAGGTTAGCTGCTACTAGAGTATCTCTTGAGATAGCTCAAAAGATATAGTATGGAATTTTAAATGCAAAACAGAAATGGGAATATCTGAGCTTTCTTCTCACATCCTTGTCTCCTCTAGTGGTTTGTTCATGAAATCTTGGATTGCCTGGTGTAGGGGTAACCATTTATTAATTGAAGCTTTCAAAGCTGTAATCCACCTAGAAGAAATGAGAGACCAACAATTGTCCCTGATCAAGTATTATGTATGCATTTCTCTGCCCTTTGAGATACACCTTTTATAAATGGAGTTCAACCCTATTACTATGTGTACTCATAATCAGTGGATTGGAGAGATGCAGAAGGTGGAGGAGTTGGCTACAAAAACAATATAGCTTAAGAGCAATTTTCCAACATACTGAAAGGCTTATGTCTTCTGTTCATTAAATTAAAGCCTAGGTAGTGTAATTAATAGGCTTTAGGTAAAACTGCCACTGATGTGGGAACTTGACTGGATTATGGTGAGGGAATTTACCTTCAGAATGTGTTTCTGTTGTCTAATTCACTTAGTTAAATTACAATGGTCATTGATAGAAGACAATAATTCTTGGGAATGAGAAGGATATACACTCCACTCTCACTAATGAGAAGTGCCATAGCTTTTGTGTTCAGTATAATCACCCACACATAATTGTGAAAGACACCTTATCCAGCTTTATTTCCAAACCTCTGCAAGCCAGCCTTGCTGTTGTTCCAGCATTGAAAAGAACAGAACTGATGGCTCACATGCTCCAGGATATGCTTGTCCCAGAGTGAGAAGCAAGATGTATTCCATTACCATTTGTGTAGCAGTTGTCTTCTGTTAAGTGAGCAGTTTTCCTTAGCTCTTTCACAAATAAGCCTCTCTCAGGGGAGACAGCTGCTGATAATGGACTATTGACTGTCACTGCATGACTGATAAGAACTATAACTTCCCATTGTGGGATGCTCTGCCCAGAGGAAGGAGCCAAGCATTCCTAACTGGATATAATCTGGGTTTTGGGGACATCAGTGGCAGCCTTTCCACAGGTTCCCAAGAGGAACAGATGGAGTTTTCCACTGGATCTTCAGATTAAGACTACACCCTTCTACAGGATCACTGCTCCAACAGAACCACATCTGCCACTCCAGGAGGGCTGCAGCCACTCCAATTTGGACTGCTACCAACACGCTGGCCAAAAGGGTGTCAGGTTGTATTCCGACTCTGTCAGTGTTTTTTATTTTGTATTATTGCATGTATTTTGTTTCTTTTCCCTTTTCCTAATAAATTGTATTTCTGACTTAGAGTCTGTCACTGGTTTTGCTTTCAAACCAGAACAACGTTTAACTACAGTTTGACTAAGGCTATTGTTAAAGGGAAATCTAGGGGGAAAAGTAAAAACAGACTGCAAAGATGTCACTAGATCTTCCCAAGCTACATAGTTCCTGGTCCCTAAAGTCTGGTAACTAAACTGGAAAAAAAAAAAAAGACAAATGAAAAATGTTTGGTTTACCTTTTGTTTTCATTTACATTCTCTGCACACAAGTAAAAAGTTTTAAATTCTTCAGATGGAGGTTTGAGTTCAATGACAGATCTCTTGGAGCCCAGGGACTGTTCACTCACAATATAGCCCTGCAGGTAAAGGCCACCTGGATAGAATAAAATAGCATGCTTTATGTATATTGCAGATACCATTTACAGAATTACTGTCAGTTATAACGATACCAAAAAAATCTGGCAAACTGGATTTTCAGATTAGTGTATTCACAGAGTTTGATATACTTGACATTTAAAAATCTGAAAGTTCCATTTCTTTTATGAAAATTGATTTCAACAGTGTTAAACAGGCTTCCTATCTATCAAATGATGAGCAACAGAGATTTATTTAACTTTTCATTAAATAAGAGATGGCAAAATATTTTTCCTAGTTTTTGACTGCTATTAATGAGGCTGCCTCAAGCTACTGTAAAGTTCTCTGGAAGTTCTTTGGTTTTGTCACTGATACTTTATTTTTCGTTCCTTTAAAAACTAAAGGGATATGAATTTCAACATTAAAAAAATTCCTAAAATCAGGTGTTATTACTTCTGCTGCCATTAGTAACTGAGGTGTCATTGCAGGCCACATTAGTCAGCTGTGAAGGAGAGGCATTAGACAGAACCTGATCTTCTGGACATTTTAATTTTAACTGCTTTTTGTTTTGCTCTTTTTATTTATTTTTTTTCCCTTCAAATTTCACTTCAGTGCAACTTAAGGTGTAAGTTCACTTTATACATTCATGATGAATAGTCAGAAAGATGTGCAGAACAGGGTTTTTATTTTTGGGGAGTCTCACATTTAGGCATAACAGCACTAAATTAATGTTCTAGCATTGAGAATGATAGAATGAGAATATGTGGTGAAAATTGAAAAGAAATGCACTAACAAGAAAAAATACTACCATATAAAAGAATTTTTATGTGGTAGGATATTTAAACATCAAAGAAAATATTTGGCAGTAGGAACATAAGCTTCAGGGTCATAAATGCATAAAACTTAATTTCTGGATTTCTAGTAGTTCATTGTTTTTCTCTGTGAAAACCTTAGCTTTGGTTTAATGTAAGGAGGAAATCCCTAGTCATTTTGTAAGTATGGCCTTTGGCAGATGAAGAGTGTTATGCAAATGACAGGAAGTGGAGTACCTTCTGCCCGATCATAATAGCATAAGGGCTAAGAAAAGTTTTTTCCTTTTTGTCCGAAGACTGGCTAGCAAGCAAAAAGAAAAGTATTTTCTTTCTGATTCTTCTGTCTGCCAGCTTCCTTAGCACAGGGAGGAAGGACTCGCAGGTCTTCATCCATCCCCTCTCTGTGTGCGAAGTGAGCTCTGCTTGCAATTGACCCCACTAGCATCATTTTGCTGCTTTGAGAGTGGGCAGCCACCCTCTCCTGCTGTGGCAGGAGAGATGGCAGCTTTATCTGCAAAGACCACAGGCTCTCCAGCAGTAGGAAACTTCTGCGTATTGAAAGATGGAATAGCTTTAACAAGGTAATGTGAAAACCTGGTAGTTTCGGGGCAACCAGTCAGAGTTTATGATATCTGTGGATACTTCCTAACATGCAGGATTTGACAGCTTTCAGGAGACTGCCATCAGTGGGACTGCCTCAACCCATCATAAAGTGCTTTAGAAGGGTAGATCTTGTTTCTGATAACTGCTCCTAAGGTAATGTGTGTGGAATAATCCATTTCAGAAAGAAAAAATCAAAAACGTGTGAGGAAAAGGAAAAAAGACTAGGGTCAGGAATTAGGTAGCTAGTGGATAAATAGAGACTGAGTCTGGTTTTCCTTCATTCACCTTCATAGAACAGCATGAATTTCCTGATAAGAAACTCCCATTAATGGTAAAAGTTCTACTTGGAAACTGCAGTGAAACATTTCTACTTCAATAATAAATTCAAATCTACAGCCATCCTTACCTTGGGCAGGTGTAGACCGGAGAGTGGCATAAAAGTACAAGCAACCATCCTTTAGAATGCAGTAGTGCTGAATCCAGACATCTTTGCTCCTGTCCAGCTGGTGGAGAAGCCCCAGGCACTCAGGGTTCTTGATAGCCAATGGTGGGAGTGTAGTGTTATGCAGTGTGACATCTACCCACACATGATTCTGCAAAGTAAGTATGTAATGAATTGCTCTGGTAAAAAATTAAGGAGGACATGCCAGTATGAAAAGACACAAGCTCTAGTCTTCTGCTAAGAAATTAGCTTTTGTTGTGAAAATATTCTGAAAAGTTGTCCTGGCTTTGGCTAGAATAGGGTTAATTTTCTTCACAGTAGATAGTATGGGGCTGTGTTTGGGTTTTGTGCTGAAAACAGTGTTGACAACACAGGGATGTTTTAGTTATTGCTGAGGTGGGCTTGAACTGAGCCAAGGGCTTTCTACCCTTCACTCCGCCAGTGAGGAGGTTGGGGATGCACAAGGAGCTGGGAGGGAACTCAGCTAGAACAGGTGACCCTAACCAACCACAAGGATAGCCCAGACCATACAACATTCATATGCTCATCATATGAAACTTGGAGAAGAAGAAGGAAGAGGGAGAAACTTCAGAGTGGTGTTTGGTATTTCTCTTCCTGAGTACCCATTACATGTGATGAGGCCCTCCTCTCCTGGGGATGGCTGAACACCTGCCCAACTATGGGAAGGGGTGAATGAATCCTTTGGTTTGCTCTTCCTCTGTGTATAGGTTTTGCTTTACCTATTAAAATGCCCTTATCTCAACCCACTAGTCTTCTCACTTTTAGTCTTCTGGTTCTTTCCCCCTCTCACACTGGGAGCTAGTGAGTGGGCAACTGTGTGGGGCTGAGCTGCTACTGGGGTTAAGTTACAAGAAAATTCAATGCTGAAAATGAAATTACATAACTGTGTATGTGAGAGAAAATATCCAAATGTCTACTCTCTTCTTAAAATAATGATTTGTCTTTTCTGCACCTATTTTATTTTTCATTACATGTTTTGTAGGTACAAAAAGGATTACTCCACAGCTGTATGAAGTTTTTTTAAGAATTGCCATGTTGATTGCTTGACCTCAGTAGTCTTTACTCTATATAATCTGGCAAGACAAAACTCACCATCTGCTCTCTGAGTTTCAGAGAAAATGTTGTGGTGCCTGACAGTGGGATATTGCATTCAGACTTGGATGAAGCACTACCACGCACAAAATGTTTCCCTTCCCTTGTCAGAACTTCCCTTCCCTTTTTTTACTGTATTGTAAATGGATGAATGCATGAATGAACCTTCTGTATGTCTAATGTTGAAAATTTCATATAACAGCTTAATTATGCATGCCACATTAAAGAAGGACTCTTTTGATATATTTTGTCTATGTAAGCCTTATTATCCTTTTTGGCTCAGGCTGTTTTATTGTTTCTTTAGGTTAGGATACACACTTTCAATTATTTGATATATTTTTGCTGTTTTCAAGCGTGTGGATTCCTTCACAAGCTTTTGAGAAATGCTCAGGTTTTGCACTTATAACCTCATCTGAAAGCTAAAGCCAAAAGAAATATGTTTGATCAATTTTACTTCAGTGCAAAAGCTTTTTAAACATCAAGAAACACCATTCACTGTTTTTAAACCTATAATTAAATGTTGCTGAAGGAATCACTCTTTTTTTTTTTTTTCACTCATTAATGCAGGTTTTAATCTGTACCTTGCAATTTTCGTATTTTTAAAAATATGGTCTGTCTACAGCAGGAAAGGAGGACTCACAGGGCCAGGAAAGGGCAGACTAAAATGTCTTTGACCTCTATGTTTGGAAATATTGAATCTGGCTTATCAATTCCCAATTCAAGGGTCAGCCAGAGACCACTGATACTGAATTATGCTGGGCTGAGTAAGGTCTCCAAGTAGCAGCTCAAGATCAATAATGGCCGTATTTTTCCTGCCACAGGCGCCAGCAAAAAACATAACAGTGTAAAGAGATAGGTAAGTCAATTTTTATCAACGTATTATCTTTCTTATCTCTGAAAACAAGAAAATAAGAACTCAGCAATCATGTCTCATTGTCACCCAATATTCTGTTGGAATACTTAGGAATACTTGGGAAGATATGACCCTTCTCTTCCTGAATCCTGAACAGTATTACCTAAGGCTTAACAATAGCTTATGAGAGTCATCTCTACTCTTGCTTTCTGCCTGCTACACTAATTTCATGTTACGTTTCCAAACCAGCCTAAAGGTTTGGTTGCTATCTGCTCATATCCGGAGAGGGAGCATTTTGATTAAATCACCATATTGCAGCAAAGCATACAAGCTGAGTCACAATTCTGTGTATGGCTCTTACATCTGGAGTAGTTCACAGCCCAGCAGAACAAAAGTATGCAGGTTCCATGTTGCTGTCTGCGCCTGACCATGTACAAACACAGCTACTCTCTCAGTCAACCTGCTGGACACATGCTTCTCACCTAAATGCAGCATTACCTGATGGATGGGATGCACTGCTTTATCCATAGCCTCCAGCCACCTGTAATATGACACAAAGTGAGAATATATTAGTTTGGTAGGTCAGAACAAATATGCTTCACTTCTTCTTCTAATTCTTGCTGACATATGCAGTATCTAAAGGGATGCACAATTTTCAGGACATATTCAAGGCTTTAAATCAGAAAACTAACAGATTAAATCTAAATAAACATTGCTGACTTTCAAAAATTTAAGTCTCAAAGCTTGCTGTATAACACATTGTAATAAATAAAGGCAATATTGCAGACAAGGGAATCTATATATCAAAATATATAATTCAAAGATAGTTTAACTTGCCAGGCTAAATGATTGCTCTCCTTGTCTTTGATATAATGCAGACAATGAATTAGTGGGAAGTGTAAAAGCCCCTTAAACCGTAAACTACAGAATAAAGCAAGCTATTTGTTGGCAAAGTTATTCTGTTGTGCTATGGATGATATAAAATTTGGAAATGGAAAATTCTTTGCTATTACAATGGTGGGTTAAGTAGTAGGATGATATTAAAAAAGTGGGTGTATGAATACCAAACTATCAACTTAATTCACAGCTTTATTTTTCTGACTATTCACAGTAAAACAAAGAGGAAAATAAGACTTGATTATAGTACTTTTTGAAAGTTATACTGCATTGCTCATATTATGGGTGATTTTAGTCTCTTTGTTTTGCCACCTGTTGTCTTTGGGAAATGCAAAACAGTACTTTTAAAATCCAGCTCTGTGTCAAACCTGAAGGCACTGCTTCTTATCAGAACCAACATACTTTTCTAGCGCATTTGCATTTTAAAATACTAAAATGAAAATGTGACAGAATGACAGAAAAGGAGATGAAGATGGGATTGTATTTATTACTAGCACTGGCCTTGTTGGGCAGAAGAGGGACTGATAAGAGAGTTTACATCCACAGGAAAATTTACACTTCCATTTGATATAAAAGTGGGAGAGAAGGCATGAGAATAGCGGTGAAATTTTTGTTCTCAGGATAAATCAAGAAATCAGGGGGGTAACAAAATGTGAATGTTAAAGATTTTATTTAAAGAAAAAAAGCTACGAAACTGAAAATTAATTTCTGCAATTGAGAAATAGAAACATTATCTTCCCTTAAATTGCTGATAGATTTTTAATTTTTTGCTAAGGATCAAGGTAGGTAACATCCTCCAAAGATTCAATCTCCTTCCTCCCACACTGGCGTAACAAAACAGAAGCCATTAAAATGAAAGATTACTTACCTCTTCATTTCTTGATTGGAAGTTGCACAGAAGTAGAAAATCCTGTTTCCAGCTTGAGGTATACATTTAAAAACAAATGGTTTACCCAGACTGGTGTCGACACCAATTTCTGCTCCTTCCAGCTTTGTTACTTCCAGGGGTCTGCATTTCCCTTCATCCTCCAATTAGAAAGAAAGAGTGCCCAAAGTTCAGAACTAATATGAAATTAATCAAACACCCTCTAAACCTTTTTTGCTCTCTTGTTTTTGGTTCATCAGAAGCTATATCTGCATGCAAAAAAACTTTCTAGGTATGTGTAGATATTCCGAACATTGAGGTTGCAGCTGAGTGATACCAGGATTTTCAAGGTGCACTGAAGAATTTAGGATCCTGGGTCTCTCTGATAATCAATGCAGTGGTTACAGTTTGGTTTATACAGAAACATTCACCTTATATGTGTAGATACATGCAAAAACGACTTATATTTGAAAATAGCGAGCATAATTTCAGTTCCTTTGCAAAGCTGCTGTAAATATCATTATGTTCATAAACCTTCCCACACAATTCAGATAACCTTCAATGCAGAGCACTTCAAAACCCTTTTGCTTGTTTCTGATTGTATCAAAGCTCTTTGAGACTGAAGGGCACTGCCAATGTCTTAATGTGGTTAGCAATAAAGAGCCATTAAGCTCCTTTATGCACATAGGAAGGTGAAGCAGTTTATCCCTACAATTTCCCAGCCCAGCTCTCCTTAAATACATGTCATAACTCAAAACAAAGGTGCAGACATCTGGATTGTGAACTCTGGCTGTGTTTAAAAAAAAATATTGTCAGCCCCTTTTCCTTGACAATGTGTGACTGATGCTCTAAAAATTGCATCAAATTTGGTGAAAATAAAATGAAAAAAGAAAGTTAATTCTGGGGCTTCTGAAAAGCATGAGTGCAGTTTGCAAAATACACAGATGGTGGAGTCTCATAGAATAAAATTGGTTGATTGTTGGAATTAATTAAATTTTGTCAGAAGGAGCTGAACTGTAATTGCCTCATGTAAGTTTTTCTTAGCCTAAAAATAAACATAAAGAGCTTTCCTTGAACAAAATTCACTTATGGGAATTAAATAGTTAAATACTTGATTGTATTCTCCCTGGCACATGTAATTATCACTTTGTTACACATACTTCTTCTGTGGGAACAAAACCAGTCCCTAATAATGACAACAGTATCAATAAATTTTCATGAATACATTTCTTTGATTTCTACACTTCCTTGCCTTCCTATTTTTTTAATGCCAAACTAAAGTTTTTAAATGTAAAACTGAAGAAGATGAAAGCAATCCTGCAAACTGACAGTGCTGTGTTGACTACAATACTTATAATGCCTTCAGACACAAAATAACATTGCAAAGACAGCATAACCAAAACGTGTATTCAGGTCTGAATCCCATTCCTTCAGCAAAGCACAGCCCGTACTTTGCCAAGGAGGTATTATTCAGTGGGATCCTCTCCATGGTCCTGAAGGCTAATGGTCACTTTAGATACTGAAATGATTGATCACTATTACTGCACATCCCTATAAACTTATTTTGTAAACACTTTCTGTGGAGTTTAGAATTAATGTAAATAGAAGTTCCCTGGCATCAGGAATAATTTATGTTCACTGTGTTTCAAATACATCTAGGAATGAAATAAGATGGATTGGAAGCATTTAAAGGCAGACCAAATGCCCTTCACTGAATGATAGAGAGACGCGCTCCCCTAATTTTGATAGCCTAGACCAGAGAATCATAGAATTGTTAAGCTTGGAAGAAGACCTCCATAATGATCATGTCAAACCATTACCTCAGCACTACCTTGTTCACTTCCACCACCGTGGCCTATGTGTCACATCCACCAGTTTTTCACTCATGTGGCTTTCATGAATAAGAGATCATTCCTTTGGCAAATATTCCTTTGCTACAAGACGTGCCAAAGGTATATTGCCAACAAAAACAACAAAAAAATTACAAAAGTAATTTCTTATGCCTGAGACTGAAGTTCAACCCATTGATGATACTGCCATTATGGAACCTAATATACCTATGTGATGCTGCCTGAGATGATCATATGTTTTGTACAGATTTTAAATGAACTAACTCAGATTTTAGCTACTACCGTCCCATTCTGCACTAAACTAATTTTTTTTTTTCCCTCAAGGTTGTGATCATCTAGTTTATGATTTCTAGGCAGTCCTCAGTATCAAACATGGATGAAGTTCTCTAGACAGAAGGCAGGAAATAGGTGCTTCTTTGATACATGCTATTCTATGAACAGAAGAAACATCTGAAGTAACCATTCCTATACTGCTGGTTTTCCTAAGATTATCTGAGTTTTAGGTTAAATGTTTCTGCAAAAAATTTAGAGTATTTAACAATATATAATGATGAGAAACTGAAATCATAAAGAAATAAAAAGAGAAAGTTAGATGTCTCCTTCCTATATTGTATCAAATGCTCATTAAGACATGTATCATCATGTAGCTCTATTTAATTGAGTACAAGTCATTCCAGAATTCCAGTAATGCCATTAATAGCATTTCCTGAGTGATTCACTGTACTCAAATTTTGTTCAAGCACAGTTATATTTGATATACAAATTAAGTTTCTTCATGTATCATTAAGAAGCAGCTGAGGAAATAAATGCACATTTCATGCTATTAGCAGTAAAAAAACATAAAAAGTAATGACACAAGTAACTATGAAATGAACTTGAAAGCAATGTAGAAAAGAGTCTGCAACTACTAGCAAGAGGGAATGAAAGTAGCTTTACAGAAAACAATATCAAATCCTACAAGGAATCTAAAAGACAACGTGAAAACTGAGCAGTGCTAGAAAGCAGAAAATGAAGTCTTGGCTAGCTTGGGAGACTGGCAGTAGGAAGTGTGAGGCAGTTGCCCTGAGGTCACTGGTTCAGATTGGTTTCAGGTCAGTAGTGGCATGACCAAATTTTGACTGTCTTTCAAAAATATCTTCCTGGATGTCCCTCAGTGTTCTTAAAATAGACATCTCTTAATTGAGACAGGAAACTGAATTTTTTTTTCTTTTTGCTTATTTCTTATTTGCCTTGCTTACTCATCATAGCTGATGTGTCCACAACCCTCCCTGGCATTTTCACCATCTATTATTTCTGGCTTTCTCTGACCAGATTCTCCTTGCGGTCTGGTGCTGCTATCTTAGTATATCACTAAAATCTTATTCTCCCTATGTCTTTTTTCTAATCACTGTATTTGTGGTAGGTAATTTTTTGGTTCTTTAAGGAAATTACAGCTAAAGCCTGTTTACATTTACTCCTTCTTTGAGCTGTGCACATCCATGCAGAGAAAAGACCAATGCTTTTTATGTTTTTTTTTTCTTACATCTGTTTCCTTTGCCCTTGAGGAAAGGGCTTGCATATGTCAGTGAACAGGCAGCTCTAGACTCCATAACAGCTCGTATGGCATTTTTTTGCCAGTAGAGATGAATTCACTTAGTTTTTAATTTTGTTTTGCTTTAAATAATTTACATATAAATTAGAGAGAGTAGAATTATACTGAAGAACAAAAAATTATGGAAAAACATTTAAAAGCCACTCTGATTTGAAGAACCTAATTATTCTATACAAAACAGTATTGGCTGTCAGATGAAGTACAATCAAACAGTCTCATGGAATGGTTAATCTTCACATTCCAGTTGGTCCAGTTGGCTCTTTCTTGAGGCTGAGTAATTGTTGCAATTAAAAGGTAATTAACAGCTTGCAGGATCAAGCCTCACAAAAAGAAGTATTGAGTTAAAATTTTGAACAGCTTGAATCAGATCAAATAAGGTATCTGTGTATGACTTCCTCTGGGTCAGGGTATGCAATCTTTTAAGCCAAAATTAACATGTGCCAGCATTATTTCTTGTTTCTCAATAGAAATAATACAGAGGATGTATTGGATAAAATGGATACAGCAGGTTCTTAATTGTCAACTAAAAAATACAGTCTAGAGCCATGGAAATCATGGCAAACGTTAAGAAATCAGATTATACACAGGCTCTATATAAAGTGGTAGCTTCCAGACTATGGTGATACAGCTCCAAGCAAGAATGAAGAACAAATAGAAGTGATACCTCTATGAGGAATGGCTCAGACCTAAATCTATTTCTAGCTAAGCCTTTTATGTAAAGTGATTAGGCTTAGCAATGAACACACAGGCTTGTTCAAGAGAACAAAGAACTGAATATTTGTCATAGATTGAAATGCTCTGAAGGCTCTGCACATAGCAGAGAGGGGATTTCTTTCTTGGTGTAATAATTGGACTCCATATACCGCAGAAATGAAAATAATTTAAAATCATTTTTTCCTTCTCTCTTCTATTCTAATGGAAATAGGGATATGTAATGATTTAGGTGATGTAATAGCTATTTACCAGGTTGGGGTGTAATTGTTTTGGATGATAAGAAATGCATGTCTTTGTTTTCACTGCCCTTCCACTATGCCTAAGGGCTTCCTAGAGGCATTAACCTTGTGAGCTTAAGAAATGCAAATCATAATTCTCTTTTTAGAAGTGACATTATTACATACTATTACAATGAAGTCTGTCAAAAAGCACATTCCTGTCCTTCAATGCTGCCACAGGAAGAGTGCTTTTCAAGAATATATGTTGTAGTTTTCTTATAACATATTTCAGAGCATTATCAGCATGAACTATCATGAAGGCTGTTTCTCTGAGACTTGGGGCTACACGTGAAAGTTGATTTTCTCTTTATTCAGAGTTCAGTCTCTCACTACAGCTGAATCTCTAAAGCATGCTATTTTCTACTGTCAGGGCAATAGTTTCCAACTTGACTATTCCTTCCAACGTAACTGCTCCTACTTCCTTCCTATTCCAGCTTCTTCTTTTGACTTTTCTACTTGGAGTCCATACTAAATGCTGGCAAAAAACCCATACTCTTTAGATCTTTATTTCTAACTACTGATGTAGTAATTTTACATCATTCTTAGCTGAGGGAATTGGACACTGAAATGGAATAAATTACAAAAGTAATACAAGACCTGATAGAGCTGGTTTGACTAGAATTAATAAATCTGATTTCTCGAAAGGAAGACTGCCATGGAGAGACATTGATAACACTTTCCTGTTGGAAACAGGCATCTTTAGAGTTTCTCCTAGACAATAACCACAATGATATTTGTGGTTTCTTCCTTTCCTTTGATATTTCTTAATTTCCTTTGAGGATCTAGATTAGTTATCTGTCTTGCTATCCTCTTTACCAGGGCCTACTTATGTCCAAAGAGCTGAAAACAATTCCTAGAAACACTGCAAGATAAAAACCAGAGAGGATCTTGTTATAAATGTTTGGGTTTTTTTTTTATTTTATTTTTTTTATTTATCCAGTCTTACTTAGTAAGAAAGCAATGATGAATTGAAACTAGGAAATTCTGGCTTTCACTGGCACTTTCAGTGATTTTGTAAAAGCCAGTATTATATTTGTTGAACTCCTTACATAATAGATATTTGTAATGAGGAATTTTAGGAAACAAGTTTTTGATTATAATGCCTTCTTAATCCTTGTGTTTTCCTATTAAGCTTCGAACACAGTTAGCACTCTAGCAGGTATGCCCCCACGATGAATGAATGCATGCTCCACAGTCTTTAAACCCCTTAATGGCCCATTTGTTCCTAGGTCCTGGAAATTCTATTCCTTTTCTTTAATGAAGCCACAAGACCAGTACTTTTTTATCCTGAAGACTGCAACATATTTTAAGGTTTTCAAGTTAGCTGTCATGTTCTAAAAGTGACTTGCTGATGACACCTTAGAGATTTAACATTGAAATGATGGCCTGCTGCTGTGAGGTAAATGCTTTTTCTATCTTATTGGTCTCATGTAAAGCTGCTTAAGACATCTTTGTGCTATACTGAAGTCTTCACTACAAACATTTTGTGGTGACTTTGCAGCCCCTTTACTGTGATGAGCAGCAAATGGTACTTTTGGAGGAGCAAACATTAAAGAAAGGATCAGTGTGTGACTATGTTGATGTGTTTTCAGCTTTCCCTAAAAAAATGCGCTAAGTTCAAGCACAAGAAACTCATCTGCTTATACTTGCCTTAGGGAAGGATTTAAGTGTACATTCATGTCTGTCTCCTCATAATTTTCAGACATCTTTCCTTTAAGAGAAAAACTGGACAAAACTGAAAGATAAGGATTTAGCATGTTTGAGAAAATCCAGTGTTCTGGATCAACAAGGGATCAGACCTGCAGAATATATGGTGGAACTCCATGGTTGCCAAGTGTAGGTAGAAGTATTATAAATAATTTATTTCTGCTGATCTCAGTAATTTACCAAAACCAAGGTTCTAACACAAAAATATGTTTTAGCAGTTGATATGGATTGTAGAGTCAAGGATATCTGTTGGCTGCATCTGTTTGAGGGAAAAGAAAGTAACCTTGCATGGGAAGTGACTGAATATTTTCCAACAGCTATCACTTCACCACTGTGTGATTGGCTAGAGATGACTCAAAAAGAGCAGCAATTACATGGGAGAGTCAAATGTAGAAAACTCTATAAATCTTTTTTTTAAGCTCGGTGGGAAAGAAAAATTCAAGATGGATAATTCCTGGTTGTAGATTACAATAAAATCTAGTTCCCCGTGTTTTTTGATATGGACTAAAGCTGAGATTAATCACCCTTTCTTTTCTCAGCTACAAAACATTATATGCTGCATTTCAGGCTTAATAAAAAGTCAAGTTGTCTGCTTATACAACTGGAAGCCAGGCATGGCCTTGCTGGAGTGACTGGAAATACATCAGTGTAAGCTCGTGTTCTTAACAACAAAATGAAGATGAGTAAATTAATTCCCCTGGCTATTTTGCTGGATAATGACAGCTCTTCTTGAAGCTTTTTTCTTCCTAAATTATTCTTGCCTTCAAGTAACTATTTCAAAGAACTTCCTAGATATAGTAAGTGAAAATTTTTTTCCTCCAGAATGAGGCAAGACCTGGAACATAATCTTGCCAATTTAATCATGCAGCTGGCATAGAACATAAAAGCTGTGTTAAACAAAAAATATTATTTGTAATTCCCTTAGTAAAAAAAGTGGGATGAGCAGTCCTTTTTTTTACATCCTGAGAGAAATCACACCAAAAGGAAGAAGTGCCAGTGAATACACTTGAGATCCCTCTTATTTCATTTGGGCATTAGATCTCTCAGTAGTGAAGAACTGTGTTTGTTTTAAGTATCTTTCTCTCTCTCGTACTAAACAACTCTTCTGAGTACCCTGTAAACACATGAGGCAGTAAAGAAAATCCTTGTGTCTTCATCTGCTAAAATAGCTCCTCAATATTTCAGTACTCAGAAATGTATTCTTTGGAGTCCAAGGACAAAGAACAAAAAACCAGCATGAAATAATTTTAAAAATAATTGAAGGGCACTAGTCTTGGATAATGCAAGAAAATAAGCAGTACTTAGCTATTTCTATAAAATATTTATGCAGTACTTTAAATGTATTTATTCTTTTTAAGAAAAAAGCAAATGCACATAGTTTGTATGATTGAAGTATTTATTTTCTTAGTGCAACAAATAAGGTAGTTGAGGAACAAATGAATTAAAAGAAACCTACTAGTTGAAAGGAAGAAGTGAAAATGTTAGTAAATCTTAGTGAATGTAACATTATGAGGCACCTTCTAATCCTTACTCTAGTTCATCAGTCTGTGATATTTAATTGATCAAAATCTGGAAAGTGTTTAAAAGTATAACTAGATATGCATTTTTAAATTTCAGAAGTTTGATGATGGATCTGGTTACGATAAAATGAAATCTCTCCAGAAGAATGTTTCTTATATGTTTGAATCTTTTTAGCATGAAGCATTTTACTTGGTTTTGTTTTGACACCAGAATAGCTAGTGCTGAAATAAAGCACTGGCCAGACAGTTTTGTTGCATACCCAGTGGCTCTGCAGCATATTCCTGATTAGATGGCTCATGTGTCTACCATGACAGATGCAGAGAAACAAGACTACCAGCTATTCTGCTGGAAATGTAAGGTGCATAGAGAACTGTAGAAGAGCACTTAGCAAGTCTCCTTTATGCAGTTCATGCAAAACCCTGTAGCATTGATGTTAATGCTGTAAAACCATAAGTCAAGATAATGATCTGTAAATTTGAATACAGAACTGCTACACTTCATAATTCGGGACACAGTTTGACTCCTCACCAGTCACTCTCCTTACCTTCTTGTGCTTGTAATAGTGTAGGTAACCGTTATGTTTCAGCACAAACCACCTCTTTCTCCAGCCCTTTAGTATTGCTGATTGTGTTCGTTTGTGCAGATATCCTCGGCAGGTAGGTTTGGGGGTGTTGGGGTAACGGCTGATGTCTGATCCCACTATCATAGTCAGGATATCAGGACCTAAAATATTACATGTGAAAACATAAGTCAGAACTGTAAATGTATCAATATTTCTGAATACGCATGTAGGTTAGGGAGAAAGAAGGTGGTATTCTATACCATGCCCATGTCTTCCCAGTGTAGCTTCTAGAAGTGAAAACAAGCAGAGCAGGCAAGGAAGCATATTAAATGAAGTGATAGGAAGCATATTAAATCAAGCCTTCTTTTAAGACAACTTCAGGAATGAAACTAATTTTGGGTTGTGAACTAGTAATAGAACCAGCTATCTGAAGACACATCTAAAACATTTTTTTTGTGACCTGTCTTTGCAAGCAGCATCTTTGGCACTTGTCTATTTTATCAGTTAAGAGAAGTAATTGAATTTCATTGCTCAAATGGGAGTTTATAAATTGAGGTTTAATCAAAAATTGCTGAAAATGCTCTTAGGGGCACCTTCAGTCTCTGTCATTTTATATAGGTTCTTGAGAATTCTTAATTTTCCATGCCTTGGAGTATTGTAACCTTTTCTGTGCCCCTCACTGAGGATGATGGCAGTTGGAAGCTAACCTGTGCTAAAGCATCTAGTTATCATTTGCAAAAGGTAAGCACTCAGAAGAGATGATAAATTGCAAGATTAAAAAAATGTGCTATCTTCATCATCAATGATCTCATATCAATGATCTCATATCAAAATCACAATATTTGCTGACAGCATCAATATATCTATGATTTTACCCTAAAGGTCTGAAATTCTGATTGTATCAACGCTAAAGAGTAGGTGGCAATGCCTGACGGCAGCTTAAGAAATGTGACTGTGACACAATTTCATCTACAAAACATATGCTGAGTTTCTTTTTGGGGGACACTTGACATTGGGAATGCTGCTAGTGTGCCAAAATTCAATCCAGGGGGTGTTCTCTGAGGAGTTGAAAATACCAGTAACCAGAGATTTATCTGCTAAAGCACTCTTAAATACAACAGTGTGAATGGCAGCTCTATAATTAAAGAACACAGTATGTGTCAAGTTAAATTTGTCACTGCTGTGTAAAAGTATTTTAATTTATTGAATTTCCCATTAGTCTTTGTCAAATCTTTATCTGGGATAAATAAGGGAATAGCAGTAAATTAATTTTCAGCAAGTAAGCATGGCTATCTTTGGGTTTTAGTGAACACAATTCTGGGAAGGATATACTGCACTGATGTCCCTGACTGTTTCTGTGGTGGTGCAAAGGATGCCTCATGAAATAAACTCTCTGATCTCCTGACTAGACTTCAGATCTTGGCAACAGAGAAACAGAAGGAAGATGTGAAGTCTCTCCCTGAGGAAGTATAAGGCATAAATAAGGCATTTGTGTCTCTGCAGTCACTTTCAGGGCTTTCTGAGTCACTTTCTTTGTAACAGGAGAGCCAAAACCATTACAGTTACATGCTCTTTGGGTAATAATTTTTTTAAGTGTCTGAGAAACAAGGTCTAGATAAAAAAGTTACCTCGGCAATACTACTGTATGAAATAGTAAGGCATTAAACTATTGATTGAGATTTCTCTTGCATACATCACTCCATTTGTCTGTATGTACTTGGAGCATTCAACAGAAAATCTGACCCATACATTTAATTTACTGTGATCTCAGAATTACCTTTCCTTGCCAGATTTGCAGCTTCTGAATGTGGCATGCTGGTGACATCAGTTCCATTTACTGCTATCAGAATATCCCCAACTTGAAGCCCTGCTTCTTCAGCTGCACTATCTGGAATTAAAAGAAAAAGAAAGAGAAAAAGGAAAAGAAAGAGAAAAAGAAAGAGAAAAAGGAAAAGAAAGAGAAAAAGGAAAAGAAAAAAAAAAAAAAAAAAAAAAAAAAAAAAAGAAAAAGAAAAAGAAAAAGGAAAAAGAAAAGGAAAAGGAAAAGGACAAAGAAACGAAAAGGAAAAGAAAAAGAAAAAGAAAAAGAAAAAGAAAAAGAAAAAGAAAAAGAAGAAAAAGAAAAAGAAAAGGAAAAAGAAAAAGAAAAAGAAAAAGAAAAAGAAAAAGAAAAAGAAAAAGAAAAAGAAAAAAGAAAAAGAAAGAAAAAGAAAAAAAGAAAAAAAGAAAAAAAAAAAAAAAGAAGAAAAAGAAAAAATAATAAAAAAAGAAAACCAAAAACAAACCAAAAGAAAACCACCAAAACAAAAAAAACCCACAAAAATGTATTTAGTGCTAAGATATCAAGCATGTCTATATGATCATGCTTTTCTAGCAAAACATGCATCTGTTCAACCAGTCAAGGATTATGTTTTAGGGCTTTCATGATGTCAACTTGGAGGGTGAACAAGTTTTACTGACCAACCTGTTACTCATCTGTTAATGAAGCTTCAGGCTTTGGATACTGGTGCAACCCTAGATAATCACTGGCAACAGAGAAATTTCATTTAAAATGACATTAGGATTTACATGTTTGAAGTTTCAAATAGATATTCCAGTATCTGAGTTTTTTGGCCTGAAGTGCAAAGAAAGATCTGATGCAAAGCCCAATAGAGTCAGTAGAAAAAAATTTATTATTTTGATAAACTTTGAATTTAACCCCGAAAGAGTACCTTCTATACTGATATCTATCTTTGCTAATTAATAGAATTTGGATACAGCATTTTGAGAATTTCCTTCCTAATGTACTGTGAAATAATAGTTGTGGAAAATATTATTTCATGTCCTTAACATTTAACTCATGCTTTTAAAGATTTTGCACCCTATGATGCAGTAAATGTGATCCTTCAGTGTATTTCTGAGAATGCTTAGAAATTGTAGGGGTAAGATTAATAAAAGCTTAATAATAAACAGGCACAATAAAGCCCCAGTCCACCCTCATGTATATTAAAAATAATACATAAATGTCAGAATATTTTGGTTTGTGCTGGCCTTGAGCATGCCATAGCAGACTGTATGATCATAAGTGGTCTGTAGAAATATTATTAAAGTATTCATTATAGAATCATAGAATGATTTCAGCTGAACAGGACCATAAAGATCATCTAGTTCCAATCCCCTTCCACTAGATCAGGTTGCTCAAAGTCCCATTTAACCCTGCCTTGAAATTTTGAAGGGACGGCGCATCCACAGCCTCTCTGGGCAAGCTATGTGTGTGCCTCACCATTCTCACAGGGAAGAATTTCTTCCCAATGAAATGAGTTACATTTTGAGAAAACATAATTTTACTACAAGCTTGTCTGAAAAAAACCTATTTTTTAATGTTGTCACTATTTTAAAGCAACTGCATTTGGAAAAAACATACAAATGAAAGAGTGATATAAAAGGTGAGTAGCTATACTTAATTTTAACTAGAATGGATAAATTGCTAAGTGTCAGAGCTATTGTATGCATGATGTATGATTTTATTTGTATTTAGGTAAAGACCTTATGAACTCACAGGCTCCTGAATTCACAGGCTTTCCCAATGTTGTCAGGATGATGGACAATCTAATACATCAGGCTCATAATAATGACAGAGCTATTCCCAGATGCTATGCCAGAAGGCATGCACTAGCCTTCTCTGTATGGGATCACATTTTGCATAGTATCTGCTCTTTTTAGTAAAAATCTATCACAGTCTCCTGTACATTCTGCTCTTTTTCTGAATCTACTGTGCCTGTCCTGAGATTCAGAGCAGTAGAGCAAGCAGTGTCCTAGATTTGGATGAGCGAAGGTCTTGAGCAGCAGTAGAATGACAGACTGCCTGTGTCTCATTCTCTCTGCTGTTACTGATTGAGTCTGTGGGAATCCAGGGCTTCCCTCTGGCTGCCCTGGCAGGTCTGGGACCCTGGCAGGGGTCAGGAACCCCCCTGTAGGGAGCCCCGAGAGACACTGTCTGTGATCTCTGTCCATGGAGAGGAGTTTTCAATCTTACAGGATGAATTACAAGCGCTGAGTTCTTCATAAGAGTAATAATTAAGTGTGGCACGGGTGCAAAAGTAAAATTTTAGGTTTCTAGATTAGGGGTTAAGAGGGGACAAGATGGAGGAATTGGGTGTGTCTTGTCCTTTTCCTCCTTCTTCATGCCCTCCATGTTTCACTGTAGTGTTGGCATTTTTCTATTGGTTTAGGCTGGGGACACGCTGTTTAACGTAGATGACAGATATTGGCACATTATTGTAAATATAGCACACGTAATTTCTGGTATATAATGTTTGTACCATCCCACTGGGGGCAGAGCCCCGCACGCTGCCCTGCAGGACAGACCTGCGGCAGGGCAGCAGAACATGTTAGAGATAAGCAAGAATAAACAACCTTGAAACCAGCACAGACGAATTATGGCTTCTTCTTTGGCAACGGGGCAGAAAGACAGAGACTTTTTACAATCTCGGAATCACCAATACCCACAGATTCTGACAGAGTCAACCTTTAGCCAGATTTCTAAGTTGATATTATGTACAGAGCCAATGATTTCAGAGACCTTTCAGTAGTGACTCCCAAGATCTCATTCCTGAGCGAAAGCGCCAATACCATTATTAAGGCCAAAACCATTATTATGTTACAGCGAGCTCATTCTTGTCTAGAGGCAGTATCTTACATTTAATCTTTGCTGAAAATCATGTGCTGTTTTTTGCTCATTCACTTGAGTGTTGGAGCTTATTTTGTGGCTCTTTACAATCATCGTAATTCCCAGAAGAAGTTAACAGTCCACCTGTCAAGACTGGCAGATGGCTCAATGGATCCAAGCAGAAATGTCCCTAGCCAATAAGAGTTTTGGAAATATTAGAAGGATCTCTGCATCCTCATTTTAATTTTTAATGGCCTATTGTTATTCATGGATGTCAGCCCACAAAAGTTTTAGACTTTACTTCTCAAGGGAGGCAAAATGAAGGCACTTGCAGAAGGTATGAACTGACATGGAAGAAGACAGGGCAGTGGAGTCTGATTTACTGCTAGAGATAGTGGGGCTTTAAGACAGTTGCTTATGAGCAGTTCTTGCTATCAAACATCTTGCACCCACTAATTAAGTAAATTAATGTTTACATCAATATTATAAATTAATATAAAACAGAAGTTCTATACTATGTAGATCATATTATATCATGTAAATATATATCATATCATTATATCAGTGTATATAATATTATGTATTTATTTTTTATATATTTCCACAGAGAAATTAACCAGTACAAACACAACTTACTTGTGTCAACTTCAGTCACAAGGATAGGTTTTGAGAACTGGATCCTGAAACCCCAGGGGTAATTGCCAGTTCCTTTAGCGATCTTCACTGTTCTTTCTCGAACTGGAAATAGAAAGAAAGATATCTTTTTTCTTTACCCATTCAATTTAATAAGCAGCAGTCTGTTTTTAAAACTGTTCGTAGGTGCTGAGCGTTACTGATTTTACAAATGGTTAGGGTGCTTTCATTATCACTCCTGGCTGTTTAGTGCTTGTCCTCAGGCAGTGACACCCCCCACACTGCAACAAATCAAATATAATTCATGTTACGGCACAGGGAGACAGCAATTTAAATTAAGTGCCTGGAGTTTATAATGAAGAGCTGAAGTATTCTACTCTACTGATGGTGTTCTGGGAGAGAAAAACACTCATGGTCTCTGTGTCAAACCTCTATGCTGCAAATACAAAATACACTCTAATTTCTCAAATGGGTTTAAATCTGTTTCTTGTAGTTTCATTATTTTTATATTTCAGAAGGCCTCTATCTTTTGGACAGTTGTTTCTTCTCCTTTTGTTTATCCTTTCACTCCCCACTCTCAGAATGCCTTCCAGTCTTGTAGTCTAACCAGTCTAACCTCCCCAGCCACAGTGGCATCTTCTGCCAAGGGGGCTGGAATCTCTTTCAGCTCATCAGAATTTAACACTTAAAGGGATCAGCTTCTGTAAAAAGGAAAATCAGGGTCTAATTGCCTATTCAATCTTTTTCTCAGGTTCTATTAGTATTATTATTCTAATTTAAATGGCCTGGTTCTTTAGCAAATAGTATGCTTAAAGAACAATTTCAGTGTAAGTTTGATTTCCTGGAGTGTCTGGTTTTGATCATTTGACTACCTTACTGTGGCTTTTTTTCTTAATGGAGGCCAATTCAATAGTAATGTATGACAGCTGTTTTGTCTTGAAATTGAGTACTATTTGAAAGACAGAAATTGCTGTCAAGGTTACTTCAATAGGAGGCCAATTGATGTTGTCTGTCCAAAACAGATACTTCAATACTGACTTTAACAATCATGCTGGAGTTCTGAGCTCTTCCCTGGGAGAAGAAGCAACCAAAATTGTTTTCCAGAATATTCTCATGTGTATTAAGGAAAATTTTTCATATCAGAAGATTTATAATGGACATCTTTTTTCTCTCATACTCTGAATTATTTATGAGCTCCAACAAAGGACAATTTCATGGAAAGCTATAGGGTGTTTCAGCTTGTCTTACTTCTTTGAACTGTGTTACTTTTGAGTAACTTAACATCTGAGAAGTGAAGGAAAACCTCCCATCCCACAGAAAACGTTGTTCACTACATCTGTTCACACAGATTTAAACTACAAATAGAACAATATTTCATACTCCTAGCAAATGACTATTTTCTTTCTGGATCAACTATGCCTGAAAGTTTGATATAAAACAGATTTTATGTCCATTATAATACTTTATGACCATAAATATCTCTATGATTTTGCCATGCTTGAAGAAGTAATGGAATTAAAATGCTTCTACCCTTATCTCATGAGGTTTAGTTACGAACTTTAACCAGTTTATCAAGTAATGATTATATTTTGCAAGATAATACCTAAATAAGCATTATTTATTTTTTTAACAAGCTTTTAGATTCTTGGGTTGCTCCTTGTTCTGTCTTTAGCCTAAGACAACAGCAACTACTCCAAAATATAGTTCCCCTGAAATCCTCAGAGTGCCCAAAATAAATAAATTTTTATTACCTGTTGCTCTAGCCAACTTACTTGCCACTGGTCTAGGTCTTTTGCTGAGACATCTAGGACTGTTATCTGGAGAGACATCATCTCCTCTGAAAACCCAGGAGGCAGAATGAAAGTTTTCTGTATAAAAACCTCTGTCCTCATTTTCAGAATACTGTCCCAGATCTACTGACCGAGCATCCTCTGAATTTACTGTCATGATGATAAAACAAGTGAAAGTTATGTCAGGAGGGAAAATGTCTGAAGAATTAGAGACCTCAGCCATTCAGCATACAAGAAGAGCCAAACTTCTTAATGAACTGTTTGTAATGAGTTTCTCAGTTTTGTTGCTTTTAAAGGAAAAGTCTGCAAGGATTTCCAAATATAAGACCACAATACTGGAGGCTAATGCACATTGGACTTGAATAAGAAGTAAAGTCTTAATGCAAGCAGTCAAATCTGGAGCTGCAACTCTTTAAGACAAATCTAGCTTTAGCTAGTTCTTAAGCTATATAATATATGATATAATTAGGAAATCAAATAGATCTTCTAGAAATTTAATATGAGTTCACTTCATATCAGAAGACAAAAAAGAAGGTGAAAAGTATCTTCCATGACAGGGACATTGATGACCATATTTTCTGTTTGCTTAATCTTAGCTTTTCCAGACATGAAGTTTTTAAAAAAAGATGAGGTGAGGAAATAATAGCTTGATGGTGTTTTTTTAATTTTTTTCTTTTACCATATAACTCCTGGCTAGTTGCTTCTTTGGCTGTTGAATATGTGTCTGATGTGTTATCCTGAGGATTTTCAGATTCATATTTCATAATAATTTAAATTCACAATGTCTTGCAACAAGCTCACATGGAGAAGAAGGACAGCTCTAGTTCTCTGCTAAAGTTGAGTCTCTCAAGACAATAGGATGTCAGGCAGTTGGCTGTGACAGGTTACAAACAGCAAGTTGAATGTAAATAAATAGTCTAACAACATCCTAAGCAGACCAGGAGCTGGAACTTCAAAGTTGAGAATGGGTGATGAAAGTCATATATATACATATATATACATCATCAGGTGCTGTGCTAACAGATAGACTGAAAATATAAATTTTCTGAGAGGAAAAAACCATCACATACCTTTCAGTATGAAATGCCTGGTATAATGCAGATAGATTTAATGCAGCTGGAGGAAGGACCTATTTGCTTTGTTTATCCTGTGTTTGATGTGAAATGATTCCCAGTTTAAAAACAGAAAAGATAAAAATTTACCTTTATTTAAAGTTATATTTATTCGGGAAGTCATTTCCTGAATTTAAGTTGCAGTCTTTTTGTCCCTTAGAAAATGTGATCGGTTGTGTCTATCTAGACAAATACTCCAGGTCCGCTGGCGCCTCCCTTACTATGCAGAAAGATTGAGATTACATGCTTAACTGTTTAAGAAGTCACTAGCAAATAGACAAATAAATAAATATTACAATGCTGGTATGTTTCAAGGTCATCTTACCTTGAATGCATAAATGAAAACCTACACTAGCACCAAACAACTCAGCACAGTATTTTGCCAGTTTAATTCTGGATTTTTATAATTTTAGTAGAGTTAGAGTAGGTTCAAATGTGACAAATAGGCAAAACTATATACACTGCCATGCTGACAGTATGGAATTATGCAAAACATTTCCTTTCTCTTCTCCTTGAGTTTTAGGAACAGATGTTAAACTTGAGTGTCACAAACAAGTGCACTTAAATTCTTCCCAGATGCTGGAATTAAGAATGTAAGGAGCTGCTGCTTCCATGTGTCAGAGTTGTCTGCCAACAGAGAGGAACAGTCAAGCTACCAAACTAAAAGGGATAGAAGTCTCAGGCCTGAGATACTATCCAAAATTATTAGATATGAGAATCTGTGACAGAATTGTCTGCCCAGTCATCTGTTATGGAGACCACTCTGGATCTATGCCATGTGCTACCCTAAACTTTGTCTCAAGGAAATCAATTCTAGCTTTTCTAACTTGCTCTTTTTTGACTTGATTTCTTAAAAAGATATATACTTTCTCTATGAAACCAACACATGCTTAACTTACTAAAATTTATGGTCCAGTTTTATATTCAAGACACATCACTGTTGAAATCAAGGAATAGTTTAACCTGGTGTGTATAGCTTCTGGTAAATTTTTTTGAGTGCAGGTGGTTTGACATGGTAACTTTCTTAATACAATGGCCTAGAACCTGCTTTAGGGGCAAAAAATGAAAATTGCTACCAATAAAGAGCCTCTTTATTTCCATGTGAAATGTCAGTCATGCCTTTTCCTTTGTTAATAGGCATTAACACCTTAGGGACAGCTCAGTTACCTGAACGGAGGTGGTCTGTACCACATTAGATACCTCAGGGTATCCTGCTTGCTCTTCTATTACTACTTCAAAAAGGCCTGGGTTTCCTGCTGGTTCACATATCTCAGGTCCCTCTTGGTATCCCAGCTGGCAACTGAAATCTATGTTTAGGTAGTGAATTAATGTAGGATCTACCTCTTTGGTACAGGCATGGAACATATTTATAGTTTAAAATCTATTGGACTTGCACTGAAGTCTTAGAGTTCAGAGTCTTCTACAGGTTCATATATTCCCTTCTGCAAAGAGGAGGCTATACACCTACAAATAAAATTTCCTGTACCAAAAGTACTCATTGTAGCACAAAATATTTCCACAGGGAAGTGCACATTTTTCACCCCTATGGAGTATTTCTTATATTACTAAAATTGCAAAACAGGATGTAAGGCAATGTAAAGTAAGAAGTTACACATATGCTCCCCTTAGACTGTGCAATCCTTGCTTGGGGGCTCCATCTGCATGCAATGTGAATTACCTAAGCAGTTCATCTTAAAAATTCCTTCCCATGAAGTTTAAACTGATTAATTTGCATGGGGCAGAATGACAGATTTCTTAAAGAGACAGGTATGAGTCACAGTGAATAACAATCTAGACAACAAGTATAGATTAAAGTTGGAGCAGGTGGTTACCTTTGTGAGGAGGAAAGACTCCCAGGCCAGCATGGCTTTGACATAAGGAGATATCAAGATTATGATTTTTGTTATAACCTTGAACCTGCTGCCACATAATTATGTGTTTGTGCCTAGAGTTTGTCTTAATATTATTTGAGCATATTATTTGAACATGTTCTACCATGAACAAGCACGGTAGGACCAACTTTTTTTTTTAGTCAGATTGTTTGCTTAACTAAGGAGAAAGGATGTTTCTTGTTACTCATGATAATGACTAACACAGACAGATAGTAGACAGATAGTAAATGGACATCAATTTCCTCAGCTGAAAACCCTGTCATATTACCAATTACACAAAGGGGAAAGATACCAAGTATAATACAAAAGTACTCACTTGATCCCTCAGTGATTGTGCTGTTTATGGAGCTTCCTCCAGTTGAACTGCATTTTTTGCTGTCTTTAAACTGTTTCCGTCTTCTGGCCCACTGGTCTATTGCATCATCCTGGGAACTGTCACTTTCTCTGGTGTCTTTCTTCAAAGGCAATTTTCTGGTTTTACTCATTTCTGATATCAAGTCTAAGTTATAACCAGATGTTGTTTGTGAGAAATATGTGACACAACTTGTGTAAGTAATTTCACAATTGTGTAGTATTTCCACATTCTAAATACAAGAATAATCTACCCAACAAATAAATGAAAATACCAAGTAATATGGAAAATATTATGAAAATATGTATTTTAGACTAATTGAGGCCTTTATGCAGAGAGAAGTAAAAGGATCTTTAGTTAAATACCTACATAGCATAGTATATCACAATTTTAATGCAGAAACTTCTACATTTCTCATGGATCTTGTTTAACATCATACATTTTTGAAGTGGCCAATAGGTAGATATAAAAACTCCTATTTTAATACTAATAATCTTGCAAGATATGTATGAAGATTTTCCTGGCTTAGATTTCTTTCTAGTAAAGCAGAATAAACTTAATTGTTGCATTATTATTTCAGATCAAACAACAATGGTAAAACAGATCTTGTATTATATTCTGTAATATATGTGTCTGTAGCCACTGGCAAGGACAGATAGGGAGAAAGTCCTACCTCCACAGGCTCCCTGCAGGACTGTGTAGATACACTCATGGCTGTACAGCCTTTTTCTGGCTTCAGCCAGATCTTCATCACATGTAACTCAGCAAGGGCATTCCAGGGCACTATTCCAGACCATTGCTGAGAGTCAGAAAACTTATCTCTGGCAATGCCCTTCTAGTGCCCTTTGCAGGAGTCTTTTCCTCTCTGATACAATCATGAAGTCCCAGAACACTAGAGAGTTCTAGATTGCCTTTCCTCCATCCTGTTTACATCAGTGGCATTTCTTCTCTGTTGTAGATGTTCTCATTCTTTGCTGAAAAATGACCCATTCATTTTCAAGTGTCACTAGATTACTAAACTCCAGAAATCCCACACTGCCCAATGTCTTGACAAAGTAGGTTGATATTCTTAAACTAAAAGTGGATTTTAATGCATATTAATGAGTTGCAAAAATTATTCTGGATGTACACATTTAATAATTTAAGGGAGGACCTCCTCAGCATTGCTAGGAATGAAGGAAAATCAAAATATGACTTTGGACCAAAGGAGGGCCAAATCGAGATGACAGGCATGAGAAAGAACACATGTAGATAATTCTTGGCAAGGGGCAAAAGGAAAGAGAGAATAAAACAAGAGAAAATAAAATAAAAATGAAAAATATAGCTATATCTCACTTCTGTGCTGTGTCCTTAACCATTTAGGTTTAATGTCTGAGAAGTCAATGATTTTCGCATACAGTTTTCCTTTAGTATCTTAATTCATTACCTTGTTCTATAGAGAGTTCCATTTCATCCATTCTCTATTTTACATAGTGATACTGAGATATTGAGATACTTGGTATTGAGATATTTATGTGGAGACATTGGTCTATATAGCAATATCAATCTATGTAGTATATCTATATAGTGTATAAAATACTTCCGGTATTTTTTAAAATTTCCATTACCAATGCCAAACAAGACAGCCATGGAGGCCATACCAGTCTTTCTGCAGGTATGGTGAACTAAAAGATTTTTTAAAAACTTCAGCTGCTTTGAACTAGGATTATATAAGACATTTCCCATAAGAAAATATATATTTTTCAATTATATAAACCTCTTAACCTCCAAATCTGCTGGAAAGATCATTTTCTAGAGAGGTAAATTTGAGATATATTTGCATATAACTTGATTAATATTAAAAAATAAAATTAAAGTGTTCAGAGTGATATTTTAACA